AGATAAATAGGGCTGGGCGTGGTGGTGCATACCTTTAATCCCAGCACTTGGGAGGCAGAGGCAGGTGGATCTTTGTGAGTTCAAGGCCAGCATGGTCTACATAGTGAGTACCAGGCCAACTGGGGCTACAGGGAGACCCTGTCTCAAAAAGACAAAAAAAAATTTTTTAATTTAAAGTGATTTTTAAACTGGGCTTGGTGGTACATGCTGTAATCCCAGCACCTGGGAGACTAAGTCAGGAGGACTTTGAGTTCAAGGCCAGTATAGGGTGCATGTTAAGACTTTGTCTCAAGATAAACAAACAAAAAACTTTTAAAACCAGAAAATCCAGGAAAGACTGCCCATAAATTCCCCTCTAGTTCCACATTTCTACAGAGTAGGTGTGTTAACATGGGCCGGGGGGTGGCATCTCCTCTCTGACCTGTGCCTGCATGACCTGGCTAGCCAGGCCCATGCTTTCTTGTTTGTAGGAGCGATAGCCCACTCAGGGACTGCTACAGTCTCTACCCCTGGACTCTGTTGGAGGTGTACCAAGCCCTGGGGTACTGCTTCTTCCCAAAGACCACAATTTCTTTAGACCCAGATATCACCCACCCACCAGTTGATACTACATAACCCATTTTCCATGCCCAGAGCAACCCCGTCCCCACTGAAACCTCTGACAGCAGTGGTTCAGTCCGGGTTCCTCTGCTCCCTCTGTGCAGGGTTGTGCCTACCCATTAGTCTGTGAGCTCAGGAGAAGGGCCCACATCTATGTCATCTCAGTGCAGCAATGGTATGCTGGTTAAAGGTCATCCACACACTCCCCACTTTAAGCCCCCTCATCATGATACCTGAGCCTGCATGAACTCTGGGGACCAGGAGCACACTACTTGCACGGTGCCCCTGGGTGGTCTCCTTCATGCACTGAATTCCAATGTCCTTCTAGCCCTCACCGAGCCCTGCCCTGGGTGTCTCCCAGTCAGTAGACTTGTGCATCCTTTCCACAGGAGCCCTGAGCACAGTCACTACCTTCTCTTCTCTGTCATCACCTTCCAGTCTGATTCTTTCAAGTGTGGATCTCCCACTGGGACACAAAACTCCAGAGTGGGCCTACACAAGGCAGGGTAGAGCACAGCCAGCTCTTCCTGGGTCTAGATGACGTGTTTCTAGGACAGCCTGAGCCCCAGCTTTGTGAGTCAATTATCAGATACTCTGCATCTAAGTCAGCTTGTGCCTGCACTGGTATTTTGGGAGTCTTGCTTTTCTCCTTAGTCACGTTAAAGCTGTCCCAGCCTGTTGAGCTTTTCTGGATTCTGAGTCAACCAAACCACAGTTGCCTGACATGAAAATTGTCCCGCCTAGTCCTGGGTCATGTCCATGGCCACCTCTGATGCACAGGTCATTAGGACCCATATTTGATATGGTGATAAAAACATTGAGCAAGGAAAGGGTGGAACCACAGACCATGTTCCAGAATCCTTGGGCCACATCAGCCTTCCTGCCTTTAATCAGGAGCCCTTGAGGTCAGCTGTTGAAACACTCACCAGTGCACAGTATAACAATGCCACTCAGTCGCATTCCCTTAAAAGGTCACAAGTATCTCATATGAAGCTCAAATTCAAGCCAATTCTGTCCACAGAAGGCCTTTGACTTGCCTGCCAGGAGCCATATTGGTTTCTTCTGACTGCTGTAACAAATTGCTCCAAGCCTAGTGACTTAAAACCGTGCCGATGTATTATAATTTCTCCATTCTGGAGGCTGGAGGTCTGAATGGGTTTAGGGGCTAAAATCTTAATGCTATCAGGGCTGCATTCCTTCTAGAGGCTCTAGGGAATAATTGTTTCCCTGTTATTTCCAGCTTCTAGAAGCTTCCAGTATTCTTTGGCTCATAACCTCGTCCACTATCATAATTGTCATCACTTGGACCTCTGCTTATTCTAGCTCCTCTCACCACCCTCCCTCCCTTTCATAAGGAGGGAGGTGACATTGGATGCAGCCAGGGAATACAAGATCATCCCGTGATGGGTAGCTTTCATTGTCAAATTGGCGCAACCAAGAGTGTCTCAATGAGGGATTGTCTACATTGGGTTGGCCTGGGTCATAACTGTGGGGGACTACCTTAAGTTGATTGATGACTCATCCCACTGTGGGTGGCACCATTCCCTAGGCAGGGGTTCCTGGACCATTTAAGAATAGAGAAATCGAGCTGAGCACACACATGCATGTAAGCGGTCATTTCTCTCTGATCTGGAGTGTGGATGTGATGTGACTTAAGGTCCCACAACCCTGCCTTCCTCGCAATGAGGGGCTGTAACCTGGAATTGTAAGCAGAAATAAATCACTTTCTCCCCTAAGTTGCTTTTTTTTTTGTCAGAAAATTTTATCATGGCAGCAGAAAGGAAATTAGAATATCTCTCCACCTCAAGAGAGTTAATGTAGTAACATTTGCAAAGTTCTTTTGCGGTGTCAGATAACCTGTTCACAGACTGTAAGGATTTGAACAGGAACATTGTGGGGCAGTGGGTGGGATGGAAGTGGGGGTATCATTCAGGCTACCTTTAGAAAGAGAGAGAGAAAACACACATACCTGCCTCAATTGTAAAAGCATTTTTTTCCTCTGAATTTTGAGAGAAATATTTTTCAAGCATAATTTTTCTTTCATATTATCCTAAAAAAATAAAAGCACATTTGAATCAATTTCTCGTTTCCCCTTTTTGATTTAAAAAGTAGATCTGGAGCTACAAACCAGACCTCGAACCCTAGTGTTCAGTCATTTCTTTTCAGCCCTCTTAACTTCTGCCCAGACAGGTGCTGAGACCACATTTCACTGAAGCCAAGACGCAGAGGAAACTGGGTCTGCCCGTGCCAGGGTAACACTGCTTCTGCATTTGGCAGTGTTTGGGTGCGGTGCTACTTCTGGGGACTTTACTGATACACAATTTTAGGACTCTTTGGTCTTCTGTTCCTATGTAGCCAATAGAATTGATATCACTTGGCGAGTTAGGATAAAGGCTGCTTAACTGACCCCAGTGTCCAAAGCTTAACACACTATTACATCCTGGCAATTGAAGCCTTCTCTCACCCATTCTCCTTCCTCATGCCAGTCTGCCTTCATCTCCTGACAGAAAGGAAGCTCAAGGAGCTTGAGTGACCTGCCTCACTCTCTGCAGCAGCCCAGCCTCAGACCTCAAGAAAATACTCAGATCTTGAAACAAATTAACAAGAGGCAATTGATCTGAAATACCACAAATATTCATCCGGCCCCGTTGGTTGTTTTGCCTTAATAAACATTCATTTTAAAACACATACTTTGGGGGTATAAATAAATCTGTCTATATGAGAAGCATTATGGTGGTTCAAAAGGAGTGAGGCTGTCGCACCAGAGTATTTTCTGTGTCTTTGTCCTAAGAAGCCATTCTTCCTTTCAAAGCTTCAACTGCCTGCAACTCACCCTCCGGCGATTCATATCCTCGATGTACTTCATCACTTTCTGAGTGGCCAGAATGCTCCCTTTCTTCTTGGATATGGTTTTTAGAATATCTTTTTCAAAATCATGCACTGCTCTCTGCACTTCAATCCATCGAATTTCTGCTTCCTCAATGATAGCCTGGGAGGGTCAGCATAACAGAAGACAGTTTGGAAAACCCTCAAAGGGCACAGCCTCTAAAGACACCTCAGTCCCCTACCACCTACATCTCAATGTGGGGTGTTTCTTAAGCATAGGAAGATATCCTTAAGTACAAACCCGACTATAGGAATGCTATTATTATTATTATCATTATTATTAAAGGCACACACCTTTAATCCCAGCACTCAGGAGGTAGAGGCAGGCAGATCTCTGTGAGATCGAGGCCAGCCTGGTCTACATAGTAAGTTCCAGGTCAGTTGGGGCTACAGGGAGACCTTGTCTCAAAAAGACAAAAAAAAAAAAAGTCTCAGGGGACTCAAAAGATGGCTCAGAGCACTGGCTGCTCTTTCAGAGAACCCACATGGTTCCCAACACCTACACGGTGGCTAACCATCTGTAACTCCAGTTCTAGGGGATCTGATGCCATCTTCTGGCTTCCATGGGCACTGCCCACACATGGTACATTTGCAGGCAAAACATTCATACACACAAAATAAAAATAAATAAAAACTTTTTAAAAGCATGCCTCAGAGAAGTTAGAGCATCCATAAAAGGCAGCAAACAAACAAAACAAAGTTTCAGTTATCTCTGTCAATATGTATTTCCATATTGGAAATATTATTCCTCCATTAAATGTTAATCTATATGAGAGTCCTCACTGGAGGACTGACTTTGTTGGATTCATTGGAAGAGGCTGTGTTGGAATCCAGCAGGATGTGGCCATGACTGTGCATGCTAAAACACAAAGGCTGACTTGGGGATCTGCACCCAGTTCACTCACTTAGACCTCAAAATCCTTGTGTTGTTATAGAATTATTGCAAAAGTTCGAGGGTATGCATAGTTATTGTGCTTTTTAAAAAGAATTCATATCTTGCTTGGAGACATATGCTAAAATACCTACACTAGATGGTTATAACTAGAGTTCACTTCTTTTAAAAAAATATTTTGTTTATATTTTATTTTTATGTGTATGAATATATTGTCTGCATATATGCAAATACACCCATATCATGCAATGCTCGTGGAGATCAGAAGAAGGTGTCAGGTCCCATGGAAATGGAGTTATGTACAGTTGTTAGCTGCCAGGTGGGTGATGGGAACCAAACCCAGGTCCTCTGCAAGAGCAGTCAATGCTCTTAACCACTGAGTCATCTCTCCAGCCCCTAGAGTTCACTTCTTACCAACCCAAAGAGGAGAGGACATTAAAGCTGATTGGTACATCAATGAAACCTGAGTGGTCTTCTCTTGGATGAGTGTTGTATCTGAGTGCGCTAGAGCTCTGTAATGGAATATTCTGTCCTTATACATGAAAACAAGTTTAAAATTCATTGTCCCCTCAAGCCAGTGGTAAATTCTGTAGAGCTAAGTTCTCAATTTGTCTCATCCTCCCTGTACTCTTCCAAAGTGCAAACAATAATATGGGCATTCCATGGGCACTTCCTAATGAGGGGGAAGTGGAGCCAGGGAGGAAGGAGACTTTGAAAGGGATACCTCATGGTGCTGCAGGTCCCGTTCAGCATTAGCCCGCATGTGCCTTATTTCATCCTTTGTGTCTTCCAGCTCCTTTTGTACAAGGTCAAGTTTTTGGTCTACATTGAGGCCTGCCAAATGGTCCAGACCTGAGCGGGTCTTGGACTTACGCCTGCTACGGAACTGTAACCCAGTAACAACAAAGTCATGGTGAAAGAGAAATTGATAGTAAAGCGGCTCTAGGTCGTCATCAAAAAGGGCTCTTATAACCTGCTGGAAGATGCCCTGAATGGAACCAAGAACACACGTGGTGAAAGGATGCTGGACATTAGGCCTGAGGTGACACTTCACAAGTCATCATAAGACCCTGAACTAAGTATCTCCAAGGATTATGTTTGACAAGGAGTTGAAATGTATCAGGGGAAGTATTTTGAGGGTGGAAGTACTATGGACTTCTGAGCAAAACTGCTGCCATTATTCATGAAATCAGCCATGCCTACTTTTGAGAATCTATGACAAGCAGGCCTGTGGACTATTGACACTCCCTTTTAGAAGGAAGGGGGAAGAGAGAATCCTTCAACCATTACCTGAGTATCTGGCCACTCCTCCAGCCATTTGTACACAGTTCTGCTCTAACTGTACATGGTCTCTGGGAGGGATCAGAGAACACAGGCTGTGGAAAACCAGGGGAAAAGAGCTTTCCCTATGCAGCTAAGGGAAGACATCATCTTTTCACTGCAGCTCCTTTGGGGTCCCCCACGCTCCTATCAGTAACTCCTCACCCGTAATCTGTATGTAAACCCAATAAGCTCATTGTTTTCCCAGGATGAACTGTGATGTAATGGTACTGTGGTTTGTTGTTGTGACCTTAGGAGGAGGGGCTAGATTTTGTTCACATCTCCCCCAGGAAAGGAATTTTACAACAATCAGTTATACACCAGCATTCAAGAAAGGGTCAGGGAAAGCCAGAGAATGGTGCTTCCAGAAATGGACACAGAGGAGAAATGCATGTGTGGGCATGGTGTTAAGCAAACAGAAAAAAATCTTGGATTTTCTAGACATTTAAGGCAATGGTCATAGAGAGTGGTCCAGGGAATGTGTGGCCCTCAAAGTAGGTTTGTTTGGCCCTCAAAGAATAAATCTACATAGGTTGGCCCTTTGAGATAAGCCCAATAGAAAGGCTCTTCTCTCATTTATGTGTCTGGACAGACCTTGTAAAGTGAGTTCCCATTTAAGGGAATTTTTTTCAGCCTTAGGATTTGAACCCAGGGCCTTGTACCTGCTAGGCAAACACTGTACACTGAGCTACATTCTCAGCCCTTGTGGTTTATTTATTTGGGGGTCAGCCCAGGCTGACCTCAAACTCTGTGCTTTTCCTTCCTCTGCCTCCCGAGCACTAAGAGTGCAGATTTGCACTACCATACCAGCCTTAAAGGAATTCTTTCACATAAACTAAGATATTCTGGAAGAATCAACCCACTACTAACCGAATTGGATTTCCTCACCTAAAAGGAAACTCTGGAGAGGAAGGAAGAATGATTAAGTAGGAGGAGGAAGTTCTATAGCCACTTGACCAAAGAGGGCACAGCAAAAGCAGATACACAAATACTACATGCATTTGCAGGGACAAACAGTGTGGAGTAATTTGCAGTTCTCCATTGTGTACCTGTGAAAAATCTGCTGACATTTTAATTTCTGATAGCCGTGGATGTCTGTGATCCCTGGGTTCCAGTTTAGAGTAATATTTCTCAAACATCTCTGTTTCTGTTTTGAGAGCAGAATTTCCATAGCTGTAAGATACAGGGTACCTAAGTGAGTTACATCCCAAATAATCAGTACTCAGCACAGTATTTGCCCCATGTGGCCTTCTCTATGACATGTAACCTCTTAGTGACTTGCTTTCTTGACCTATAAAATGGGTATAATAACAACACCTTTCTTTAAGAGCTGAAAAACCTTAGGGCATTCCTGGGTTATATAAGTATTTCATCTCTTGATCATTATATATAATGACACAAAATTCAGAGTGTTGGTCTCACATTAAAAATTGTTGTTGCTGAGCCAGGCGTGGTAGTCTTTAATCCCAGCACTGGGGAGGCAGAGGCCATCGGATCTCTGTGAGTTCAAGACCAGCCTGGTCTACATAGTGAGTTCCAGGCCAGCTGGGGCTACAGGGAGACCCTGTCTCAAAAAGACCAAAAAAGGAAAAAAGAAAATTGTTGTTGCTGATCCAATCTTCGGACGTTGTCTGACTCCTGTGTAAAATTCTTTCTGAAAGACTCTTCGAGCTGCACTCAGCATCTTCAGATGTTTGCTTTGGTTTGTATTTCTTGGCTCTTTTATGTCTCACATGCAACAGATGAAAAAGTCCACCGGAAGTTTATCATAAATGAGGAAGACCCTGAACAATGGTTTTTAAACAACTAGAGATGACATATCTAGCTTATCTTGTATGTGCCAAGATTAGGACCTAACTACTTCTCATATATAAAACTTGCCTGTTTTAATCTGTGTGTACACATAAATACGTACACACACACACACACACACACACACATATACAGAAGACAGAAAAGCTTTGATGTTTTCATGCACTGTTGCACTAATTTTTGCTTGAGTGAATTTTAAGATTAACACAGAAGGCTAATGGAAAATAGAAAATATAAAGCATCTTGTCTTTTCAGCATCTATCACATTCTTAGTGTAACCTGTGGATTTGGTCTCATGTCAAGAAAACTTGGGGATTGCTGTATTATATATAAGTCTGTGGCCTGTAATAGACATGCAGAATGGTAGCTATTAGTAATAATCCCTCAATTCTGATGTAAACTACTTACAGGTATATAGCATCAACACATACTCAGCTGCCAGAACCAGGATATTCTGTGGGAAACCAATAGTTGTACAAGGGACCTCAGCTACATCACAGAATCTTTGGATCCAGTTTACTCGCTATGGTAGATATAGAACACTGAGACGGTCATTCTTTACTGCACATATCCATGCTGAAACTCTCCTTCAGGTCTGGAAGCCTCAGTCAAATCATTTCAATAGCTGTGTTTCCACCCAGCTGCCATATTAAATTTTTTTTTTTTTGACTTTTTGAGACAGGGTCTCCCTGTAGTCCCAGGTGACCTGAACTCACTATGTAGACCAGGCTGGTCTTGAACTCACAGCCATCTGCCTGCCTCTGCCTCCCGAGTGCTGAGACTAAAGGTGTGCGCCACCATGCCCGGCGCCATATTAATTTTATCATAAGATGTAACATTGGAAAGGGGTTTAGGAGCCACGTGATGCAAAGCAGGCTAGCTAGGTGCATGGCCCAACACCAGGCAGACACCAGGCTAAAGTTTCAAATCCCCTCTGGGTTTTCCACTTTCACGCTGGCCCCCTTGTCCCGCTTCCTGTCCCGACTCCATCACCGCCTTGGCCCAGTGACAGGGGAGGGGCAAGGGTAACCAAGCAAAGACAAACTACTGCTTCACTGTAGGGATCTCGGGCGCCTTAGTGCTCAGCTGAGTCCGGATTGCAGGCTGCAGCTGAGGCCTGAGGTCGCAGAGGTCCACGGTGGGCGGCGGGCTGAGCAGCCGCGGGTACCTGAGCTCCTCCACCAGCCCGCATAGCTGGATGACCGGCAGCACGCCTTCCTCCTCCACCTGGGAGTCGGTGGCAACGCTCTCGGAGTCCTCCTCAGTCATCCCTCAGCCTGGTGAGCAGGGATCACCTTCTGCTAGCTGGCCGGATACACTCAGGCTGCAACCCCGCCGCAGGTTGCCTTGACAACCAGACGCCACTGGAAGGGGCGGGGCTTCTGGTGGTCCCGCCCCTTCCTTCCGCTTTGAGTCCGGAACCCACTAGAATGCCTTCCTCCCCCGCAGATGACTAAACGTAATCAGTTTCACTTGAGTCACACTTAAATTGGTAGTAATAATGGCAGAATCGGTTTGCACAGTGCTTCCTCTGTCCTTGGCATCTTATTAAGCCTATTTTATGCAAATCCTTGCAATGATCCTGCCATGCTACTATTCTATTCATTCTACCAGCCAGAACTAGGCCCAGAGAGCTAGCAAGACTAGCGGGAGTGTCTTCTTTCCCTGGTCGCCCGGTAACGATCCCATTCTTTCACCATCTGCGGCCTCACACATTCTAGCTGCAGTTTATTGGACATTGCAGTGTGTTGTATTGCTGGAGGAAAAGAGGGGAAAAAAGTAGCTGGTTATAAATTATGAATTTGGTGCTGGAGAGCTGGCTCAGCGGTTAAGAGCACAGCTGCTCTTGCAGAGGTCCGGATTCAATTCCCAGTACCCACGTGGCAGCTAACAACCGTCTGTAACTCCAGTTCCAGAGGATCTGGCGCCCTCTTCTGACCTCTGGGGACATTGCACGACACGGGTGCACCTACCTACATGCAGGTATTACACTCATGCACATAAAATAAAAATAATAAATAAAATATTTAAAAATAAAATAAGAATTCAAGACATGCTTAAATAGAAACTAATTACCATGTCCTTAGGATCCTGGGAGGATGTATGGAAAAGACAGTTTGGGCCATTCAAAGACCAAAATTTTAAAAGATATTTTAATATACAGTGTGAGCTTCAGGGTACAATAATTTTGTTTGGAAAACAC